CTGGGCGTATTCCGTTCCCTGGACTCTGTTCTCTCTTCCAGCATCCTCCTCCCTTACCCCCACCTCCAGGCAGGAGGAGAGCCGAGGCTCCATCCCCATCCTGCTAGGCTGATCTTGCCCAGTGAGACAGCATCCTGGGCCGCCTGGTTTTGCTCTTTCCCAATCTGCTCACCTCGCTTTCCTGCTGCCAAGACTGCTCTTTTCAGCCGGCTCGGAACCAGTGAGTGCCCTGGGCCGGGGCCCAGCCTCTGGAGCCATGCCCAGAGCTTGGCCCACTGCTTGGCCCGCTGCCCAGGAGTTGTCAAGAGTCTGGCCTGGGTATGAGTCCTTTCAGCTGCTTGTACTACAGTCCTCTCCTTGGAGCGGTAGGATGGGGGACATCCATCCTTGTCATTTTGTCCTAGCCTACCCCAGAGCTTTCTCTTGCCCTTACTACAGGAATGGTCCTGATGAGCACTAAGTAGTTGGGGTTCTGGGACTTCAAGAGGCATTGGGGGATTCACTGTGAGCCCTCTAGTGTTCACAAAATGTTTCAGAGGGCTTTGGAGCCATGACTGGTGGCTTCTCCAGGAACCAAAACCTGAAAGTAGCCTCAGTTTACAGGCCTGCTCTAGAACTTCTCCACCCTTGAGATCCTTTGGTAAAAACAGCCTTTCTGAGATGGGATGTTAGGGAAATAACAGCTAACCTGGGCCTTAAAGAGGGTCTAAGTGACCACTGAACCTATCAGTCTGTGTCCCTAGGGTAGTACCCACTAAACTCTGTGGGGAGGGGGTGAGGAGTGCTTTAGTGGAAAGGAGAGTCAAATACACGGCTGTGAGAAGGAGCCAGTGACCGGGAAAAGATTGACATGATGCCCGGGCACAGAGACTAGCACGATATGTGTATTGCCAGACTGGAAAGAATTCGGGAAATCATAGGAAATAAACATACTATGTAGCCACTAGGTGGGTGGCCATAGCCCGTGCTGCCGATCTCAGAAGCCAAAGTCAGAGCAACCCAAGCTCTCCTGTATCTGATTCCCAGGGCAATCCTGAACTGGGTTAGTATGTTTATCAGCAAAACCAAAGCTTCCTTTGTTTTCTTTCCTAAAAGAGGCAGTTAGTTTTCAGACATAAATATATATGGAAAAAATTATTACTTTTCCCCAAAATCATAGTAGGAGAGCCAGATCCCCCCCCCCACCTCCCAATCTGGGACTCCTCGTTTCCAGCTGTAAACACAGCAAGATGCCCAGTCTGGGGCTTTTAGAAATCAAGTCCAGCTTGTAGAAAAGACAATTAAGAGGGGGAAAAAATCTCATTTTACCTTATATTCAGCAAATTTGGAAAGAAAAGCACTACAGTACCCCAAAACACACCGAGAGCTCAAAAATAATTGCCACGATGCCTCTAATGGCAGCCACAATGAGAAGACAGGGTAAACTCTGAAAGCTACCATGTCCCTGACCTCTTCAAGGCTAACACAAGTAACAAGTATCACAGTTATCACAGTGACAGGTCCTGAGCAAAGCGTCACTTGGAACATTATTTATCTAATCCCCACTTTTTCAAGGATCTGGAGATACTATCCACAGCTCACTTTTCAAAAATCACTACAACTTCTCTGGGTCACAGGAGTGAAATGAAACATCCTGTCATGGTTAATGGGAAGTGAAACTATGACCCGGGTGAGACTATGATCCTGGGCGCAAAGACCCACTTCACTCCAGACCATTTCCAGATGAAGAATGTCCAAGTGGTAAACTTTTCTTAATTATTCTTTGTGGAAAAGATAGTTCATGACAGCTGGAGATGGGGTGGGGTGTATTCCACGTGGTACTGAAATGTCAAACTATAATTATTTCCAAGGGTTTGTTAGTCTTTTTAGGGTTTTAGAATATCTCCTGCCTAATCTTACCTTATAATACATTTTGGCTAAACACATAAACTAATTATGTATCGACACAGATTTGGGGGGGGGGGTTGTTGTTTTGTTTTGTTTTGTTTTTGAACAGCAACAGCAATCCCTGGACATGTAAAAACATGTTATGGGATATAAGACAGCAACAGATTTCAAGGGCAGCCAGAATAATCTCAGATTAAACTTGGCATCCAGTCCCTCATGAGCACAGTCACCTAGCAGGAAGCACCAAAGAATGAACTGTTTCTGGAAAGAAGAAAAGTGGGGACACTCCAGTGGAGTCCAGTGTGCAGAGCACAGTGTGCCCAGGAGTCTGAAATACAGAGATGTGGGTTCCATCAAAAGTTCCCGCCAGGAGCAGGACTCTCTCCCTTCCTTTCTTCAATTCCTTCCTCACTCATCCCTCTGCCCACAGCTTTCACTTTGACCCAAATATGCTAGTTTCCTGAAAACGATTCTACCTTTCTCATTACAAACTCATTTGAAGTAAAGCTGTAGAATTTTGAATTCAGAGTATCAAAAAGAACAGAACTGTGATCATTTACATTTACGTGTTATTTCTCTTCCTTTGTCTAGTTGATGTTAAATGTTAGAAATCTAGCCTAATGCCAACCAGTGCTCTGCCTAGGAAACTAGTCTTAGCAAGCTAGGCAGAAAAGAAAAAAAAAAAAAAAAAAAGACAAAAAACCAAACCCGACTTGTCTCTGTTATGGAAGACATATACACAAGCATTAATTTCATACAAAGCAAGGTTGAAATGGGTGGGGTCCTTTGATTGACAGCCATTTGTCACTCTCATTGGAAAATTTTACGGGCAGCTTCCAATCTGCTTGGACAAATTTAGATGAATGGAAGTGCTGAGGAATGATGCTATTATCTGTATACCAAACATCAACGAAGGCCTGAAAACCCTGAGTGCTTCACTTGGACGCCTAGAATGGGGGGGAGGGGAGCGCACGAACCTGAGACAGAAATGTGTTGAGATGGCAAACCAATGAACAGAAATGGCATTCAGAGATGTCAAAAGATAAAACAGATTTAGTTTTTGGAAAGAGGTCTAAATCTAGTACACAGGGCCAAGTCTCATGAATTGCAAAAATTACATTATGTACAATCATTTTAGCAATAAGTTTATTTTAACCATCAATAGCTAACTAAGGGTGGTTATTTTAGGAGAATGAAGTCAATACATTTGTTTTCCTGAGGCAGGCAGGGGCAGTATTGTGCTACTCCTGATCTTCATTAATATTCATTAACTTTTTAAAGCACTTTGGTTAGCTTTGGCTATTATCTATATAGATAGTTTGCCCTTAAATAAAAATAATTACAATAATTTCATTATTTAAAATGTAATTAGCATAAAATTAAAAAAATCCTACATTTTCATTAGTGAACTTTTTTCATTGGAGAGTATATATATTTTTTTTCCAAAGGATTCTGTTCTAATTGAATTCCTGGGGTAAAATTCTAATAACCATACTGACTAAAATAACCTAAATGTAACCAAAATTAAACTGAAAATCCTTTTTAATTTTTTTTTCAAATTAATCTCCACTTTTCGACTACCATAGTTGACCCAATTAGCTCTGTGCAGGGACCCAGGCCTTTGTTGCTCCTCTGCATTGCCTCCCCCCACATTTCACAACAGACCGTCTTCACCAGCCCAGGGCCTTCCATCCCGGAAGAACCCAACGCACATTTAGTGATATTTACCTTCCAAAGTAACCAAATCCAGATGCGCACAGAGCTCACATCGCTGTAAAAAGAAATTGTTTCCTTGTGCTCGCTGCCCCCACTCTCGAAGGGGAGGATTGAAAACTATGAACATTATCCCTGTGCAGCTAGAAACTGCAGCCAGAAATACAAAATAGTTTTATTTGTAAATAAACCCAACTGTAGGAACCATTTACTGCCTTATTCTGCTACAGCCCTCCAGTCCTTATAAATCAGGCTTTTTACACTATGACAGATTAACAACCAGGACAAAATATTCATGCATATGGAGTTAGAGATGGAATCCTCCACATCTCCTTGATTCACAGCATCCATTGTGGTACATGTTGAGTCACATTTGTAGATTATGAGGAAATAAATAAATAAGATTAAAATATAACCGTAAGAAAAGAAGTCTGGATAATTGAAATGTTTTGAAGCATGGCCAAGGGGACAATTCACTATAGTGAGCAACTATATTTTTAAGAAAACACATTTTTTTCCCCAGTGTTTTGAGTGTGGTATGTATGTGTGGGACCACACATGCGTAAGGGCATTCTGCCCCATGATTGGAATTAAATCCATTTATTTATTTGTCAAAAGTAAATTCTAATCCTGAGAAATACCTCAGTTACCCTGAGTCTTTAAGGGTTGGTATTCTGTTGTCTCTGGTTGGCTACTCGATTTTGGTGTGTGTCTGGGATAAGCTGGCCCCTTGGGGCTAGTACAATTTCCCTGTTTAGGTTAGTCTGAAAAACAGGGAAAGTGTCTTCTTGTTATTGAAGAACACACGCCTACAGGCTCCTTTTTCCAAGCACATAGTCATTAAGAGCAGACCGGCAAGAAGAGGAACTTAGCTTCTGCCTCCCTAAGTGGATTCAACTTCCTCCCCAATCCAGCAATGCCACAGTTGAATACTTCTCAGAGATGTTTATTTCCACTCGGGTTTATTTTTGCAGCCAGGGAACAATATTGGTGTACTCTCTGTGGATACATTTCCAAGTCAAGGAACCAGGCTTTGGGCTGCCCACTGTTGAGACACTGGGCCCACTCTAACCTGATATTGCAAGCCGGGAAAGTGGGGTAGGGGTAAGAGGGTAGGGAGCCAGCACTCCATCCTCCAAGGCCCCGGGTTTGAATGCATCAGGTCCTTGCCCTTGAAAATTTAGATCCAAAGTTAGAATTAGCAAGTACCATCAGCCCCTTTTGCTGGAACAACTGTGGTTCCCAAGCGGCCCCACTTCAAGACGGGCCCCTTTCCTTTCAACCGTCTCAGGGCCACTTAGCCTCGACGCAGGATCGATTGTCTAAACACATGGAAGGGAAAGGGTTAATCCGAATTGTCCTGTCCACTCTGCGCCCCAGCTTTGGGGAGAGCAGCGAAGCATCTGAACAGGGAGCACCGGGCAACCACAAACCCCCAAGCTCGAGGTGCCTGACAACTTGATGCAAAGATGGGAGCTGACTGGATGGAGGAGTGTGAAGTTCAGACGACCAGCCGAGGTATCTGAACAGAACCACTAAGGACAGAAATGGTCAGATCCCAGGATTCCCCTTGTGCGGCAGTGTAAGTCTCAAAATGTATTTTATGACCTCAATGCCCTTTATTCCGAAAGAGGTCTTAAACGTCCTGTAAGAGTGTTAAATGCACAGTGGGCATCGGGGGCTCCCCTGCTTTGCCTGGCCACTGCTTCCCAAGTACCTTGGTGGCGGGGCGGGGGATGCAAAGCCACCTTCGCCCAGTTGGTGCAACCTCAAAACAAGCGGAAGCCAACAGGCTGCAGGACCAACCTGCCGCTCGGGCCCCAGCTCCCCCTGCAAGCCCTCCGGCCTCCAGCCCCAGCGGCTCGCACAACCCTCCGCAGCCCCTTCCTCACTGCCCACCCGGGCGGGTTCCTGCCCCCCCCACTCCCTCCCCACCCCACCCCCAGAACCCCACAGGCGCTCTCAGCCCACCAGCAAATTCCTAACAGCCCCCAGCCTTTCCAGGAAAGGGAAGGAAAAAAAAAAAAAGACCATGACATCACGGGCAGGTTTATTTGGGTTTGTTTGTTTGCTTGTTGGCTCGATTAAATACTCGTGGAAGGTGAACGTACCCCACACAGGAGAAGTTTGATGTTGACAAACTTCTGGTGGCAGCGAGACTGTGTCAGCACAACTTCCGGGATAATGAGAGCTGCTTTGCAGGGAGCGCGGCAGCGGCGGCGGGAGGCTGCCGCAGGACGGAACAGCAAATGCTATTCAGCCCGAGCAGTTTCAAGCCGCCCGAGCTGGGGAATTACTGTAGTCGAGCTTCGGCTCTTACCACCGGCGCTGGATCTGGGCGCGCGTTAGGGGGGGAAACTGCAGGCACAGGGCGCCGAGAGGGGAGCTTTCAAGTTACTTTGCTCCTTGCCTGCACCCGGCAGAGGCTTGCAGGCTGTGTGGTAACTGCAAACATCTTGTTCCCTGCTTCTTTGGGCGGCTGCCCTGGAACCAACCAACTTTTCTCTCCCCCCAAAACTCCCTCTTTGTTTCAAATAGGACTCTCCAAAATTTATTCTTGGGAAGACTGACAGCCGGGGTCAAGAAACAGCTGTTGAAGTTAATGTTTCTTCCTCCCACTTCGTCTGATGGTTGTGCCCTGCCAAGACAAAGTGAGAGGCACTGCCTGGTGGCTTCTTTAAACAGTTATGCATTTAGCCAGCCAGCCACCCCCCCCCAAAAAAATAGGGGGAGGGGGACGAGGGCAGTATATTTCCTGCCTAACACACAAGCTGATCAGAAATGCAACAGCATGTGCCTTTCAACTTGTGTTGATTACTTGCTGAAAAGATGCAGCAGCTTTTAGCTTTGAGCACTTGGAGCATTGGGGATGGGAATGGAGGTAGGGGTGACTGACATTTTAGGTTTTAGTAAAGGGGCAAATTTTTCAAACCTTTTCCCTCCTGCCCGACCCACTTGGCCATCTAAGAGAGAGAGAATGGCCTGGGGAAGAGGGAGAAAAGAGTTTCACTTTGGCAACAAGGTAAAGTCAAATTTCAAAATACAAATTGTTGTGCAGAGCCAGAGTTTGCACAGACCTTGACAAACCATTTTTACCTGGAGATGACCATAATAACTCAAGATACCACCCTGTCTTGGTAGCTTTGGGTTCATCTTTCAGACCAGACCTGGAGCCTCCTCCTTTCTGGGTAAAGTTGGTCTTTCCCCAGAAGGTATCCTGGAGCAGGGAGTTTCCCGCCGCTTCCTGCTGCTCTCTCCAGGGTGAACGTTGGGCTAGGTAACCCTTCTCTTGCCACTCAGAACCCTGAGGGTTGTGTAATGACTACTTAGAACTGTCCTGTGTTGTCGGGTCCTGACTGAGCAAGGCTGGGGATGGGTGAATGGGAAGTCAAGTCTTCCCAGGGAACTTAACCACTCTTCCGTGAGTGTGAGTCCGGTTCTCCATTGGGAATGCTGGGCCCATTGGGTCAGGTCCTAGGAAGACATAAAAGGCCTCCTCCACGCCACCAGGTTATCCTATCAGCCCATGGCCATGCAGCACCATCACGAACTGCTATTGCATCAGCCCCAGGGATATTTTAGGAAGCTCTCAAGCTGGGTCCAGCAGTGCAGGCATCCATCGGGACCATGCTGCCAAATCCAGAGCTGCAGAGACGCTGGACAGGTGGCCGCAGTGCCCTCTCGATTCTGTGATGCATGTGCTCCCCGAAGCAGGCAGCTCTGCTTGGTGGCTTCCCTCCCCTCTCTCTCTGCCTGGCTCCAGGGACCACCACCATGGTTTTCCTCCAGCCCCTTTGCTGTGTTTCAGCCCTTCTTCTGACCTTCCCCGGTATTTCTGCCTATCACAGGCACTCACTAAGATCTTTAGCAGTATTTGTTTGTATTATCTGTAAACCAACTGGTTACACTTGGAGTCACAGCAACACACACACACACACACACACACACACACACACACACACACACACACACAGAGCCACCAGCTTGAGTGTCTGCACATCACGGGCTGCTTTGACTTGGGTGAACTTTTCTTATCACCCCCCAAACTGTGCCATCTCCCAGCTTGTCTAGTAGCAGGGTAGTGGCCAAGAATCAGTACACCCTCAGATAGTGCCCCTTCTCCTGGGCCCTGCCAATGCAATCCAGCAACCAACTGACTGAAATTCCTTCTGCTTTTTTGTTCTTCGTCCTTAGAGAGGCCAAAGCTCGGGGTTTAGCAGGGCTGAGGCAGACCTCCGCTGATTCTAGAGTTGTAATTCCCTACTGCTGGCTCCTGTAGTTTTATTACGGTCTCCTTTTTTTCCCTAAGATCTACAGACACAAACCTCTAGTGTGGAGGCCTGCAGAACTGCTCTGCAGAACTGCTCTTAAAGGCGTCTTTGTGTAGAAATGTAACCTTAGGGCAAAGTAGGCCCAACTCCAGGAAAGGCACATTATCCTACCACAGGGGAGCACTGTGTTTGGGTCTAACCTCGGGATAGTCCTAAGGGTTGGAGCTGTGAGCCTCCATGAGACAGAGACTGCTGTCTGAAGATGGGGTTGTTGTATTTTGGGGGGCCGGGGGGAGCAGGAGAGGGAAACAGTAAAGACAAAGTCCTTCCCTGGGCTGTCCAAAGAACTCTACCTGCAATCAGAAGAAACAGATGTGCTTTAATGAATGACTCTCCAGAAGGAAACCATTCCTGAGGCTCTGGTTCCTTTGCATCCAAGTCAAGGCATCCCATGGTGGGGACAGCACTGTTTGGCTCTCCATGAATGGACCTTGCCATCCCATCCCAAGTGGGGTGTCCTTGGACCACTTTGAGGATCTTGTCTGTTTGTGATGGTTTGCGATGGCAATTTACCACAGAGTATAACAGTAGTATTTAAATCAGGTAATGTCATTAAGAGATATATTGGCGGAGACAATCGGAAAAAAGATGAAGAATCTACTGTCAATGAAATATAATGGGGGTAAGAATATAGCAACTTAATTCCGGGGTTGTTTTTCTCTCTGTATCTTTTAAATGTTCACTTACTCTTTCAGAAGGAATGGTAACAGGAGCTTGGCTTATCAGGCAGACATTTTCAGCATTTCAGACGGGTGCAGAACTTGAGAGGTGTGCTCTCTGTAGGAACTCAGGCTGTGGCTGGACTAAGGGAGTGTGAGATATACCTAGTTAGAGAGGATGAATTTGGAATCAGAAGCATTAAGAAAAACCTGGGGACAGTTCCTATGGAATCCACTCTAGATGTGGGTGCTCACTCACCCTTGTAGCCCCCTGAGATGGAGTTGCTGGTATGGAGAACTCAGTGCAGGGCTTCCAGACCACGCTTTTGAAAATGTTTTCTCACAGAGTGAAGGTCATGGACGGTGAAGGAAGTAGAAATGAAGACCGCTCCTCAGACGGCATTTTAGATTACAGAAGGTAGACAGAAATAAAAATGTGCCTGGAATTATTTGCCCTTTTTTCTTTCGTAAGTCTAGGCAGGAGTTTAACTTTGAGTTAAAAGGCTCCCTGTTATTTCTCGGTTGGTTTCTCCTCCAGCTACCCCATCCACACTCCAGTTCTGGTTTTGGGCAGAGCTGTAATTGTCCTTTGTATGGGATCCCATGAAATCCTGGGCTGGTTTGCTAATGTGGGAAAATGTCTACTACAGAGGCGAAGACCACCAAACTAGTTTCATTACTACCCAAGGTGCACTTAAATCCAGCCCTTCAGTGGTGGCCGACCGGCCCAGCTCACCCTTCCATAGTGCTCATTAAAATGTTATTTACATTTTACAATATGGTCTCCAGCCATGAGTTGAGATTTTTCTCTTGGCAAATAGAAAGGAATACTTTTGTGACATGGGGGGGGGGGGGGGCCTGCAAAGTTTTAACTTCTGCTATGGTCCTGTTGGTGATCTGCAAATCAAGGTCATAGTATTTCAGAGGGACCTTCCGCCCATTTCACTCTAGAGAAGAGACAGCAGACAAAAATCCTGTGCTCGCAGAAGTATGCTTATCAGCCAAGAAGACTGTGACTTCTGCTTGTCTCTTAGAAGTGGATTTAATGTTTATCAAAAGAACAAGAATAAGCAATGTTGAAGAAAGCACATCCTCTCCTTAGACCCTGAACGTCTGGCGAAGGTGGAGAGTCTTTCTCGCTTCTCTCACACCCACCATTGAATTACAGTGCTGCACATCCCCGGCATTTTTGGGTAAACCATGTTCTCTCGATTCTTACCTCAACAGGTCAAATCATATTGAACAATTTAAGGATGTCTTCTTTCTGGCATCATTCATGAGAAGGGCAAATCTTTCAGCACAAGGCAACAAAACTACCCAAGTGATTTTTTTTTTTAAATGGGTCTTTGCTGGCTTGGAAATTAAGTTTCCTTGAGTTCTGGGGCAGTGAAGATTTTGCAGAACTTACAGCCCAACTGTAGGATCTTCCACCTCCCAAGACAAGCATTAAGAATTACCGCTAGAGCCAGTTTGAGACCTTTTTCCCTGATACCCTCGTGAAGGGTGAAAATCAGAAGCCACTTCTCCCATGGCAATAGGCCAAGCATCTGAGACCTCTGGAGATGCTTGCCATCTTCCCGTGTGTCATCACA